TTTTTTTTTCAAATAGTTTTGTGCATCTAAATTACAAAGGCCCATGTGATGTGGACTGTTATGGTGTGCTTGATTAGTTTGATGTTTATTTTCAGGCAAATTGTGGCTCGTGGATTGCTGGATGTGCTCCGGGAGTTCAGCGATAATGAAAATGACTTCATCAGCGTCATGGAAACAGTTGCCAGAATGTCTGAGGATGGAGGTTTGTATGACTTTTGACTGTATTTGACTTGTTCAGAATGGCTAAACTGTACGTAATATTGTGAATGTAACGTGATGTTACAGAACCGACAGTGCGAGCAGAGCTGATGGAACAGGTACCAAACATTGCCATGTTCCTTCATGAAAATCGGCCCAATTTCCCTGAAGCCTTCTCACGGTATCTGGTACCCATTGTGGTCCGGTATCTCACAGACCCTAATAACCAGGTGAGTTATACTTTGAAAAACTGCCTGTTCTTTGAATCGTTTATCTGAATAGGTAATGATGACAAATATTTTTGAGTAGGGATGAGTTTAAAGGAGTTAAACTAGTCAGCCAGTAACCTATTAGCACTAGTAAATAAATGAATAACAAAAAAATATATGTTTAAATGTATAATATTGATTGTTTTATATTTATTTTTTAACATTTAAAAGGATTTCAAATAATTTTAATTATTTAATTATAATTAGAAATATATTATTTAATTATAGAGAGAAAGAAAGAGAAAATAAGATTCAATATTTTTTATTGGAACTGCTTAGGGGAACATTTTTCAACTTGCCAGAGAAGGTTTTGGTTGCTGACTGCATGCTGTGCTTTAACTTTTACTTTCACTGTTGCATCTCTAAATTCATACCATTTTATCGTTTATTCTGTAATACTCACAGAGCCATCTAAAAAGCTCTTTTGTAATAGTCACAGTAAGTTTCACAACAATTATCAGATTGCTTGAGTAATGGTCCCATTATTATGCATAGTCATTAGGCTTCCGTTTTTCAGTGAAGACCATGATAATTTTGTGTAGTATTTGTTGTTTAGCCTGTTGGTTTGTTAAATATGTCACTTCCATGTTTGGCGTCCATACTTAAGAAATGCATATGATCAGTATTAGGTGTTGTACTGATCCTGAAGCCTTATTCAGGGTGTCTTAAACACCAACTAATAATTTAGTCGTTCAGATAACCCACTGAGTCAATTTTGTCTGTGCTTTTTCCTGTAGGTGCGAAAGACGAGCCAGGCTGCTCTGCTAGTGTTACTTGAACAGGGTCTGATGAGTAAGGCAGATATGGAGGGAAAGGTCTGCCCTGTGCTCCTGGAGCTCACTGAACCCAGCAGTGACGATGACTACAAGATCGAAGCAGTTGCGGTGAGTCTTTGTGTTTAAGAGAATGCACTGCTGATTACTGAAAGTGGAAAATACTCATCGTAAAAATATGTAAGCCATTAGCTTTCATAGAACTGAAAAGATAACGTGTTATATTTCCTGTCATAACTTCATTCCATCTATGACGGAATGCTTATCTGTATGCTGTCTGCATGATACTGTGTTAATTGTTTTGTGAGTCATATTTTTATCTCTGTGTTGATGGTGAATAATGTTTTGTTGCAGATCATGTGCAAGCTGGTGATCATGTTGACTAAAGACACGGTGGAACACCTTTTATTGCTACGCTTTTGTGAACTCTGCAGTGACGTCAGACTATTTCAAGTCCGCAAGGTAATGATCCTCTCTGTTTCATAATTTGTGGAAGAGCTTAGAACTGGTTTTTGGAACATGTCTTTGTGGAACATGTTCATAGTTGATGTGATGAACTGCATTGTGTGTGAAATTCATATGCTATACATACAATAGGGCTGCACGATAAATCGCATGCGATATTTAATGCGCATCTTGTCAGAAAGCCGGTTCTGTAATCAGCGGTAAATCTCCATCACGTGCGTGCTTTCACATTGAGCAGCATTAACTACACAGAGCCGTTGTTCACTGACGAGCTGCGCAAAAAATCGCGCGAATATGAACGTGGTTTTGCGCAGCTCGTCAGTATTTGTACTAGGGGTTGCACAGACTAATCGACTAGTCGACTTCAATGCTCTGTAAAAGCAATAATATTGTGAAATAATACTACAGTGTATAGCTGTTTTCTATTTGAATACATTTATTCCTGCGATTGCAAAGCTGAATTTTCAGCAGTCCTCAGTGTCACATGATTCTTCAGAAATCATTCCAATATGCTGATCCTTCAAAAATCATTTTATCTTGCTGACCCAAACTTTTGAACGGTAGTGTATTTCCCTTATTACCAAAGTATGGAAATACCAAGTCCGTGCATTATTATATTATATCAGTATCATGAGACAAATAAGTAACAATCCAAAGAACACAGTGGACAGAAATGGCTTCCAAAAACAAGAAGCCTTGACACAGTGAAGTTGTGTTCTGGTAAATGCACATGTTTGCGACTGTTTTGTCATTCAAATAACTGCAGTAATAAAGCTCAGGCGTACACTGTGTGGAAGAAGTTGTGAAGAATGTTAATCTACTTTTGCAACTCGTGCTGGGTTGGCAAGAAGCAATGTTGCTTGAGTTGCAACAGGCCTCTGTTTACAACATAACAGAAGACTGAATTTGACCTCATTGCAAATGTCTAAACTTTCTATTACACTTTTTTTTGTTTTTTTCTCACCGTCAGGTTTGTGCTGCAAACTTTGGCGAGGTCTGTTCTATTGTTGGCCAGGAAGCCACAGAGAAACTTCTGGTGAGACTTGCTGCGCTCCTCTTGTGCTTGTATTTAGAACAATACTGCAGTCACATCCAGAATGAATGCATTTAATTATATCTGAGTGCTAGACCCAGAAAACACCTTTCATCTTATAAAGCCTTAAAGTCTGTTTGTGTCTTTGTGCAGATTTTTGTTGACACGACATGCAAATGTGTTAACCAGCACTCTCTCTTTGTCCTCACCTCAGATGCCAAAGTTTTTCGACCTGTGCTCAGACAGTCTGTGGGGTATTCGGAAAGCCTGTGCCGAGTGCTTCATGGTTGTTTCAAACTGCACTTCTCCGGAGGTGCGGCGTACTAAATTGTCCCCCTTGTTCATCAACCTCATTAGTGATCAGTCACGCTGGGTAAGAGCAAAGAAACTAACACTGTGTTCTAACATGCTGTGACTCCGCATGTAATTTCTGTCCTCTCTGAAAGTGAACGTGATTATTTGATGTTTAGTAAGTGTATGTAGGATGTGGAGTAGGATTTTGGATCGGTGTGATTTCTGACTTTGTTTTTCCACCTGTTTTAGGAAATCTCTTTACTTTTTTTTTTTTTTTAATTATCATTTTTAAAGGGAATGGAACATCTGCTTATATTCTTTTCCTTTTCAGGTACGCCAGGCTGCGTTCCAGTCTCTAGGTCGTTTCATCTCCACGTTTGCCAACCCTTCAATCACAGGATTGCATTTCTGTGAGGATGGAACCCTCTGTGAGATACCGAAGATCTGCTCAGAGAGGTAAATGCACATGGTTTCTTTTACTGTGACTGGGTTTGTATGGAAAAAATACATGTGTTTGTAATTGACTAGTTGTTGTAGTCAGGTGTCAATCTTTATAAGTAGGCTTTTTTATAAAGAAATTCATGCTTTTATTCAGCAAGGAGGGATTAAATTAATCAAAAGTGACAGTGAAAGTTTGCATTTGTTAGAAAAAAAAAGGTTATTTTTTCCCCCTCCAAAATAAAAGAGAATCCTGAAAAAAATGGTTTACACCAAAAAATAACAAATAAATAAATGAAATAAGCAGCACAGCTGTTTTCAAAATTGATTATTGTTAAGATATTGTTAGATTGATAAGAAATGTTTCTTGATCATCAAATCATTATATTAGAATGTTTTCTGAAGGATCATGTCACACTAAAGGCTGGAGTAATGATGCTGAAAATTCAGCTTTTGCAGCTTTCACAGGAATAAGTTACATTTTATAATATATTAAAATTAAAAATATAATATTTCAATATATTGCCATTTTACTGTATTTTTCATCACAGAATGCAGCCTTGGTGAATGTAAGAGACTTCTTTCAAAAACATAAAAAAATCTTGGAGACCGCAGATGTTTGAACAGTAGCATAGTTACTACTTTATAGGGCTGGGTTTTGACACAAATTTCACAATTCCATTCGATTCTCATTCACAAGCTTGCGATTCGATTCAATGTCGATTATTTTGGATACATATCAGGTACAGTACAAGCCAAATTTTCTCAAGGAAAAAAAATCTCTCAACTAATGCTGTAAAATATACATGAGAGTCAGTTGGTACTACATTATAATATTGAAGGGTAAAATTGACTTATTTGTGCTGTACAACTGCTTAAATTGCACTTAATGAAGTTTTTATAATAAAGTTACAATTACTTCAGTTTTTTTTTTAAATATACACATTTAAATAGTGGCTGTCATAAAAACTTGGATGGATTTATTAAAACGTAAATAAAACATAAAAGAACGGTAAAAATAAATATAATGAATGTTATATGGTGCATATATTCAGCAAAATGCCCCTCTCTACAGTTTATTTTTCTGGCTGACTCGAGTTTATGGTCACCAAATATGCTTTCTGAGGTAAATGTGATGTTATATCAATTTTTTACAAGCTGTTATATTGACATCTTT